TACATTGCATGAGATTATCTATCTTCTTGGAACAATTCCGTTACCAATTGTGGGAAGAGGTGTAAGGTTGAGCCCTCGTGCAAGGAACATAGTAGTTTTTGGAGCATCGATCTCATGAACGTCATGACTTGTTCACTAGTTTCACGTGCATGACAAATCTTGTAGCTTGTAGTTGTAACACCAGAGACATGATTCGTTCACATTTCGGACCACTTAGCACGAGTTCGTGACACTGCCGTAGTAGTTAATTGGCAACGAAGGTTCATTTGGGTTATTATAGTTCGAATTTTACTTCATCCGATCACATACGTCGTTTCACGCCATGAAATTCTTGACTTGTTCTGAAGGACTGCAACTCTGACAGCCAAGAAAGGGTACCATATTTTTTTCCCTCGTGTACCAAACCATTCACTTCATCTTAGCTCAGTGCAGCCAAAACTATTATTCTGGGCTGTCAACATTGAAGACAACCTAGACCTTGTGCTGTCTTTCTTGATCGGACTTCAAAATGTTTAATGATTGCTCTTAGTCAACGCTCGAATCAACAGAATCCAAGTAACTCTTGTCTTCGTATTTTGGATGATATCGCTGGATGATGATTTGATGTTGATTTTGCTAGCAATCTTCTCTCTTCCTGTCGTCTCATCGAAAAGAGTTCTCTTGGTTTCAGACCGTGGAAGCGTTCTTTGAAAGTTGGTTATTGTGTCAGATTTGAAACCAAGGCTATCTACATAAGATGTGCAGGAACGTAAGAGACAACTCCAGGAGTCTAAGTTGTAAGTTATTGATAGCTAAACTGATGACAACAGCCACATCGCTAGGGGGATGAGTACCTATCTGACTAAAGATCAGAGTAGCTACCCGAGACCTCAATACGAGGTCTCTTAACTTGCTACCAGCTGTACTTGCAATAATTAGAACTAAGGAAATTTACAGTGTCAGCTTTGTGCTATTCCATATCAGGAATAGCACAAAGTTGGTCTATGGGTAAGAAATTTATGGTAATGAATAAAGTCCGGATTCAAATAGCGATAATCAATTCTTGTAAAACTCCAGAAGCGACAGATCATCTATTCGTGCAACACATACAATTCTTTTGAATCTGCATCAGCGGTAAGCGTCTTGAACTGGGCCAGTGTACGTTCCCTTCCATTTGAGTTGATTGCCATCATTGAAATATCTGTGCATAAGGAGATCTTGGTTGCAGGGGATGGATCCGAGTTGTCTGACAACACATAGTCGAGGTTGATGACCTTGCCATGAGGAGGTAAAGCTCATAATAAAGATAAAGGTAAGGCAGTAATTCACAAGGTTAGCCGGGCTGTATTGGTACAATCGCCTTCGAGATTGTGAAGAAGCTAAGCAAGCAGGGATTTTGTCTGTTGATTGAATATTCTCTAAAGCGTCTGCCACTCCTACAAGTGATATTTCCAACTAATATCTCAAATCGAATTTTATAGACGATGAATTTCAAAAGAGCATTCTGAAGAGAACTTTAGTGGCCGATACCGTTGAAGACTGTGAAAGGATAACCGCCCTTGAGCAATCCGAGCCTTAGTTACCAGATTGATTTCATTATTCTGATTTTAGGTTCTTTATTGTTAAGTGTGACGCACAGATGTAGAATGTCATTTGTTCACTCGCAGTAAAGTAGATCCCCCCCCCCCTATTATCTATTCTTACCTAATATAATATACCTTTAATAGAATATTTTGGGTGTTAATCAACGAATGATTTCAGAAGGTCGCTCGCGGGCTCTTTATGCGAATTGACAAAATATCATTTTTGCTCGGATTATATTCCAGAGAGATAACTTTCACTCTCTCCTCGCTGACTGATTTAACTTATTATTCACTATTCTTCACATTTATTAATCTGAGCACTTACCTTCCATGGACACTTCAAAGAACGTTCGGGTTTCACCTGATACCACTTGGCTCGATTTATTACAATGAGAGAATGGAGTGAGAGCTCTACTCCGCCGGGTCTGCAGAACTCGAAGTAGATCAGCCAAATGAAGTTAGCTGTACAACTGACTAAATACAAACACACGCAGCCACTTCTAGATTCGTGGAAGAAGTGCAATTTATAGAATTTTAGGAATATACTAATCCATAGTGCTCTAAGAGTGCCTAGGTTCCTGGCGAAGGCCAATTTACCTACTGTCATGCACAATAGTTTAGCTCCTTAGAGGAGTATAGATCTGGTTCTGTAAGCATATATAGATCCCACGAGACCGAAGAGTGATTGAAAACAAAAGGTTCATTACTTGATTCCTGAATCAACTTCTGTCTACAGCATCCAATGTCGATGATGAATTTAAATATTCGCATGAGGTCTCACACGTTCGTCGGAGCCTGCTGTTTCTGATTGTCATCATCGCGTAGAGCAAGCACGTTGGGCTACCACGTGATTGCCAGCTTAACTTTCCCTCATGAAATTGCAAGAAATCAATCTGCAGCCGAGCTTGTTTCGGTTTGTGATCACATACTGTGACAGTTAAGCAACATCAATCCAACAAGTTACAGTAGATCCAACACGTTACAGACAAATTCACCGTCCCGGAAGCTCTAAGATCTGCAAGTATTACAGAGTGCTATTCCTGCTTTAAGTACTCGAACGTGTTGGCTTTTATTCGAGTTTTGTCCTCAACAGAGAGCATTTAGCCATTAATTCTACCTCTAGTCGCATTTGGGTGTGATAATTTTACGTCAATTTCTTCTTTCTAGCAAAATTATTTCTAATCATATCTTGCATGCAGTTCTACTGTTTTTTCAAAATCCAAGAATATAATATAATTATATATTAATAACAAGGAATATATTTACACATGAGGATGTTTTTTTATAATAAGTTTTATTCATATTTGGCAACAGAATATTTTCAAATTGATTCGATATTGAACATATCATATTTAGAATACAAGTATATATTTTCTTGAACGGATTAAATATAGCAAACTCTCTATATTGACCAGCGTAAACAAATCTTACACAAGTTCTGCATGCACATCACAGTTCACTGTAAAGTGTTTGTGCTAGTGGGCCAGGCAAATCCTTTGAGAATCTAACTGCTATCCGAAAGAACACGAGTCATACGTTTGCCTACCAGCGGGGGTCAGTTTAGCGAATCGGTCCGCCTTGACCGTGAGAGAGATGAAACTTTTGTTTGAATATTTATTTTTGGCAAAGCTTTTGAATCAATAGTGAAAGTTATTCAGCCATATTGGCCATGAGAATATAAGGTTTGAACAACCAAGAATAAAGGTAATGCTCGAGCAAAGATATTCATATACGATTTTTTATAAACAAATCGAACATCGCTGGCTGATTATAATTCAGCTTTAAGGAGTCTGAAAACGGAGTACATTTGAGATATTTATTTACGATGGCTGTCAAATCTTATACTAAATACAGGTGTTGATATTGAATACCTAAATCTATCAAACATGAGTCAACTTATGATCGATCCAAACTGCAATAGTTCATTGACACAAGGAAATTAATGAACAAAGCTTTTTTCACATTATTTTATGTCATATTTACTGTAACGTATTCAAATGGAGTACACCAAATGTGTCATTTAACTTCAAATTTATTTTACATATTCTGGTACAATCCAACACTAAATGGTGTCATGAACGTACTTAACTCGACTTTTCACTGTAACTGAAGAGGGGTGACTGCACACGTAACATCGCTATTGCCGACGTTCTCGGCAATTCGAACACAGCTGAATTGTGCTGGAGTAATGGCAATGATTCTTGGGCGACTCATTGACCAGTCGGAAATTGCTGATTCTTAGAATAAAGATTTTCCATTAATAAAATAATACGATGCAAGAATATAATGACCCGGATCAATGTCGAATGTAACTTCGAGGTCCCTGCTCTATTACTCCGTGCTACCTTTATTATGTACATGGGTCAACCTACAATTTGTTATGATTTCCCTTCCATATTCTTTACATTTTAAAAATTCGTCTAACCTCACCTTCGAATCTTATTCCTGTACAAGCACGTGAAGCAATAAAACCAATTCATTTGTCAGAGAATTGCCCGGGTCTCGCTGGACTTCTCTAGACCAAATATGGGTTTCAAGTCGAGTATCCTAATCTGAAGTATATTTTAAAGTACTAAAGAATACAAAATCTAAAGGAATCTTCCAATCTGAAGTATAATTTAAAGTACTAAAGTATAAAAATATAAAGGAATCTCCCAATCTGAAGTATAATTTACAGTACTAAGGAATAAAAAATCGAAAAAAATCTCCCAATCTGAAGTATACTTTAAAGTATTCAAGGAAAAAAAAATGAAATCCCGAAATTCTTCTGAAGGACAAACTTACGACCAAAAAAACCAAAAATTCACACAAGCCTTCCGAAATGTTGACTTGTGTGGATGGTCTGGAATATGATCCGAGCAAAATGGTATTTTTTTCAGTCCTAGAAGTCGTCTATGCGCAGAAAGAGCGGGCGAGCGACCGGCTGAGACATTCGTCGATTAACACCCAAAAAAATTATAATAAAGGTATGTCATATAAGGTTATTATAGACATGTATAAATATTGAGAAATACTCTCGTTAATATCTTTGACCTGATGGGTTCGTCTTGAAAGACCGGGAAACGACGGCGGAAGGTTCTGCTTCGCGTCAAAGAGACTTGGGGACCAAAGGACGCTGCGTGAATGGTGGTAAGTTACCACCATTCACGCAGGGTCCTCCGGTGGCTCGGTTACCATTGGTAACGTAACCACCGTCTTGAGTCGCCTCCGACATCATCTTCGGGAAACGCTTCCCTTGTCAAACAGTGCCACTTCCGAAGATTCGGAAGCTTTGACTTTCCGTATGTATGTATAATTATGGTATTATACCACTGTATTATACAGTACTCTCAAACCATACCTTGAATAATTGTAACATAAAAAATCCTGCAACAAGTGTAAGATTTTATATTTGTAACAGTCTCTACTTTAAACGGAGAGGCTAAAAGATGCTAATTGGGAAAAGTTCGAAACTTGATAGCGGATATGAACCTGAACTTGACAAATATCCCTTGTGTTGGTATCTATGATGAATTTGATGGGGTTGATATTTCGGAGGACGTCAACGGCACGAGGAGGATATCTTCGAACCCGAGGAGGTGATGGACTGGGTGATATCTAAGAATGATAACATCTGAGTGTTGTATAATATATTTGCAATTATAGTACGCGGTCCGCGAGGAATCCAATTATACAGACCCATAGCTTTGACATGCGAATCTTCCGTGGAAATACACCCGAATTCACGTGGAATTCACCTGCCACTGATCCGAGCTCTGCCAGAAGAGCACGTCTTTATCTCGCTACCACTATTTCCAACAAAATGGGGGCATTGCAACCGCACTTGTTTTTAGGTCAATTCAAGGTGATTAGATTTTCAGTTCGGAGACCAGACCTCGAGTGCAAAAGACAGCAGCCAATCTTGCTCCCAAATAAGCGTTCGAGAACTGCAGAGGGAACCCAGAGGGGAAAAGTCGTCGGCGAGGGACAAGGGAAAGGGCGTGACACCTCACACCGTAGAAAAACCAGAGGACCCCACTGACGTTCTGGTACTCCCCAAACGACGTGCTTCTGAAGAACATCAAGCTCCGATCAAGTGATATAAAGAAAGAAGTTAGTTGACCTCCGACGGCTGTATCTCAAACAGTAGACGCTGCCGAAAATTCCATTGTCTAAGAAATCGATTTAAGCATCATCGCGTATAACGAAAGGTCTGGGCACTTGAACCGCCCAAATCAGATTACTCCAAATCTGCAGCAGAAGAAAGAATCAACTATCAGTCACTTTAATCCCAGATCACAGGCTACGCTTGGGGGAGGTCCAGTGCGTCGCCGAGCAGGCTTGACCTGCTGCCGTTTACCCGCTTGGTCGAGTGACCTCTTCCAGCTCTGAGATCGATTAAGCAGATATCGTTTCTAATCATTTCGTAATTGACTTCTCCTTCAGGTTGGGTAAGGTTGATTAAGGTTGGGTCACTTAGCGTCTGATGAACTATCCTGGAGACAGAAGGAAAGAGGAGAGGAGGAGAAACGCTGAGGAGACGTACCTCTGAGGCACTAAGAGTGGGGCAGGAGGCAACGAAAGGTGAAGAGAATTGGACTAATCAGGAGGAAGGCTAAACTGGCAGGATTCCAGATTAATTGACCATACGGGCCGGACTTTATGCATATGCAGGACGAGATTGTTCTCATGGAACCGGGTTTGCAAGCGGAAGAGTTGCCGAAAGTTCAATGGGAATTAAAGTACGAGGGAAGACAGCCGGCTGGCTGATGGGAAATCTGTACTGAGCCATTCTTCAATTCTTTGCAGAACTTTGAAAGACGATGGATATCGATAGATCAAGAGACATCATGGGTCACGGAATGTTTCGAATGGGAATATGTGTCACAGATCGCTAGATCCTCTCTAAACAACCAGTTTAGATAGAACCTTATAGTGCCGAGGAGGAAGATCGATTCAGACATATATGATGCTTCTGGAGCAATCCACAACCATAGGGAAACCACGTCGTCAACAAATTGGACAAGGTCTTCACAATACACGATTGCCATGACGCGGCCCGCAAGTGGGTAAGGACAAACCGCAGGGAGCTGACTTCTTCCCGCTGAGTTATATACAACTCACTGGACCCAAATCGGCACGTGGAGACCACTCACCATTCTAAATTCAAGCGATAAGGTGCTCACATGGGCTACACACCTTATGGCCACAATTGCGATTCCTTCCAGGCAGAACACTCTCTCCTTCAGACAATGCACAAGGCCCTACGATGACAAATCATGCGAGTTATTTGATGTTTGATGGGACCCATCAAGTTTCAATTTACCCGATGGACCCTATCTACAGTACATCGTCTATGAGTTCTAATAAGAATGAGTACAAATGAGTTCTACGAATATGTTATAATTTGGTGTTTTTGTAATGACTTCGACTGCCTGCCATTGGAGTTTTAACAAACTGGATATGCTCTTGCCCGCAATATTTCCTGACCCAACCGAATTTATCGAAGTAGATTAAGGGTTGCACTCGCGTTCCAAAAATAATCTGCACAAACACACTGAAGAAATCCATTTTGGATCTGGAAACAATGATCTGAGATACATGGCAATGTCACTAACAGTACACCTTCCACCTCCAGTAATCGTGAGTTCTTTCGTCAAACCATCAAATTTTTGCTCCGGTAGATCTACAGCATCAGACTGTCACAATGAAGATTTCTTCACACATGAATTGCTACGGACAAGAAACTGATTGGCGATGACATGCACTGTTCGATAGGCTCCATCGGGTAAATTGAAATTTGATGGGACCCATCAAGTAATTTATGTTTTAATGGGGTACCATCAATAAAAAATCTCTAGATCATGCCCTTACGCTGGACTATAGAAAGTCAATTGATTTAGTAAAGTGGAGTAAACTTCTGCGTTTGACCAAGGACGTCGACCTGCATGGGACCAGATGGCGGCATCGCTGACGTCCAAGGGAGAAAAGATGCAGAGAGAGTATGGGTGAGATATTATTGGATAGACCTGCATCGCCATAAATCACAGCTTCCCCTTGGGCGAGGTCCGATGCAGGCACCGAATCCATGCTTGTAAATAACGTCTTTGGGAGGCAGAAACTTCAGCGCAAGAGCGGAAATTCTTATGCTTCTCAGCAATGATGGAGGCCTGGGTCTCATCTCTACCTCCAAGCAGATCAATGGTGTGCATTCCAAACTAGTAAAATTGGCGATCGTGTAAAGACACCATCCGGCTCAGCTCTTGCCGTCCGCGGAGATCTGCCATTGATGCATGGGAAACGGGTCAAACCGAGGCTTATATTCTTCGTGTTTCGCGTTCCCACAAAAACAAAAGCAAAGTTTGACGCAGAGAACACACGAAAAAGTAGAACAGTGAAGTCAATCTGATAACGAAGACTCGGATTGCTCAATGGCGGGTATCCTTTCACAGTCTTCAACGATATTGGTCACTAATGCTCTCTCCAGACTGCTCTTTAAGAGAATTGTCTTCTTAACAATGAAATTCAGATGTCACTTCCAGGAGTGGCGGACGCTTTAGAGAGAAATCCATCAACAGACAAAATCGATGCTGGCTTAGATTCTTCACAATCTCGAAGGCGATAGTACCAATATAGCCTGGCTAACCTTGTAAAACACTGCCTTATCTTGAATTTCAGGATTGGATATACAGTATATCCAATCCTGAAATTCAAGATCATGTATATCATATACAGATTGTCTCCTACACTTGAAATAAATATATTTTTGCACATATTATATTGTGCTTTCCAGGTCCACTTCACTATATCTCAGCACTGGGAGGGCTGTGAAGAAGATTGCAGAAGATAGCATCTTCGGTTGATTCTTCGCCTTGGATACGTCGTGGACTGTAACATCGGGACTTACTGACCCAAGGTGATTGCGAAATCGGATGATATATAAGGCGGCTGTAATGGGTTCCTTCTAAGATCATTTGATGCTCCACTTTCCTGCATAGAAGTGCACCTGATCACACCTGCAACGACCAACACTCGAGTTCGATAGCTCACCAGTTCTAAAAATGAGCCAACAGCAGAACCTGGGAGATGACGAAGCTGAGAGACTGAAAGCTTTGGAGTTAGTTATGATGCTTGCCCTCCCGTTCAGTTTGAAAGCTGCTGTGAATTTAGGTGTACCCAAAATTTTGCTGGACGCAGGTTCTGGAGCTGAGCTTACAGCTGAAGACATTGCGACCAAGCTCTCGGACCGCTGTCCAGATGCTACAAATTTGGATCGCATCTTGAGAGTCTTGGCATCGAACAACATCGTGACAGAGATTGTATCGAAGAATGGCAATGACTCCGACTGTCCTCAGAGGAGTTATGGATCCACTTCAACTCTCAAGTATTTCACTGATAACGAAGATGGAGTTTCGATAGCTCCATTTCTTCTTCTGTGTACTGATCCTGTTTTCGTACCAACCTTTCAATACCTTCACATGCCAGTTCTGGATGAGAATGTGGAGCCTCACGTTCTTGTTCATGGGATGAAATCCTTCGAGTACGCTGCAACCGATACTAGATTTGACAAGCTTTTTAATAAAGCCATGCATGATCACACACACATAGAAATTTCGGCATTACTAAAGAAGTACAGAGGCTTTGAGACCTTGACCTCATTAGTAGATGTGGGAGGTGGGTTGGGTGCTACTTTGGCCATGATTCTGTCCAAGTACCCGAAAATACGCGGAATCAATTTCGACCAACCACATGTTGTAGCCGAAGGGCTGCAAGTGCCAAGTACGGTTGTCACTCCCTTCCTCCCTCAATACATACTGCAGACATATAGTACGCACTGTTATATACAGCTCTATATCCACAAGAATCAACTCAGCTTTCTCTACATTCTGGCCTTTCGATATGTGTTGCAGATTTGGAACACGTTGGTGGAGACTTCTTTGCCAGTGTGCCTGAAGCCGATGCTGTATTCATGAAGGTCTGTATCTTGCTCTTGCCTTGAAAATGTATAAGATCTGATGTAATTCTTGAGTAGGATTTCTGATTGCACAGAATCGGTTGCCACCTTTTTCTCTCTTTATTGTGTGGATTTGCAATATCGAAAGTATTTTATTTTTTTAAATGCTTTTCAGGGTGATTGTCGGTGAGCTAAGTTCATCTTTCTTTGTGGGATGGGGACAGTGGATTTTGCATGATTGGGATGACGAACGATGTGTCAAGATACTGAAAAACGTATGGAGAGCTTTACCTCCTCATGGCAAGGTCATCAACCTCGACTACGTGTTGTCAGACAACTCAGATCCATCCCCGGTAACTAAGATCTCCTTATGCATGGATATCTCAATGATGGCAATCAACTCAAATGGAAGGGAACGTACACTGTCCCAGTTCAAGAGGCTTGCAGCTGATGCGGGATTCAAAAGAGTTGAACTTGTTGCACAAACAGATAATCTGTCACTTCTGGAATTTTACAAGAATTGATTATCGCCATTTGAATCCGGACTTTATTCATTATAAAATTCTTCTTAGCCATAAACCAACTCTGTGCTATTGCTGATATGGACATTACCCACTTGTAAAAGCTGCCACTGTAAACTTCCGTAGTTTTAATTATTGCAAGTACAGCTGGTAGCAAGTTAACAGACCTCGTACTGAGGTCTCGGGTAGCGACTCTGATCTTTAGCAATGTGGCTGTTCTAATCAGTTTAACTTTCAAGAAAATACAGCTTAAATTCCTGGAGTTGTCTCTTACGTTCCTGCACATCATGTGTATATAGCCTTGATTTCAAATCTGACACAATAACCAACTTTCAAAGAACGCTTCCATGGTCTGAAACCAAGAGGACTCTTTTCGATGAGACGACAGGAAGAGAGAAGATTGCTAGCAAAATCAACATCAAATCATCATTCCGCGATATCAACCAAAATACGAAGACAAGAGTTACTTGGATTCTGTTGATTCGAGCGTTGACTGAGAGCAATCATTCAACATTTTGAAGTCCGATCAAGAAAGACAGCACAAGGTCTAGGTTGTCATCAATGGTGACAAGCCCACGATAATAGTTGTGGCTGCACTGACCTAAGATGAAGTGAATGGTTTGGTACCCGAGAGAAAAAAAAATGGTTTCCTTTCTTGGCCGTCAGAATCGCAGTCCTTCAGAACAAGTCAAGAATTTCATGACGTGAAACGACGTATGTGATCGGATGAAGTAAAATGCTAACTATAATAACCCAAATGAACCTTCGTTGCCAATTAGCGACTACTTCAGTGTCACGAACTCGTGGTCCGAAATGTGAACGAGTCATGACACTGGTGCGACAAGCAACAAGACTTGTCATGGACGTGAAACTCGTGAACAAGTCATGACGTTCATGACATCGATGCTCCAAATATTATTATGTTCCTTGCACGAGGGCTCAACCTTACACTTCTTCCCACAATTGGTCGCGGAATTGTTCTGTGGTACCCCACTTTTGGTAATTTTGAGGAAATTAAAACATTTTTGGAAAACTGTACCCCAACAGCAATGTGAATAGCCTTCGGTGCATCAAAACAGAGTGAATTTGGAAGATTGCAGAAATTCTCGAGAAACCTCGTAGAATCTAGGAGTTGGGTGCAGCGGTAAGGAAGGGCACCACCCTCCCTGCGAGCTCTGCAGTTAGGATCCCTACGGCGCAAGGCGCAAAATCCGCCTTCGGCGCTGCGTCCGCGGCGGTAGGGAAATCCTTCATACTTAGGTCAACCCCCCAACGTCTTGACTTAGTTAGGGTTTCGTTGGAAAGAGCTCGATGCGCTGATTCCAACGAGCCCAAGAACGCCAACAACGGATGAGGACTCCGGGAATTATGAAGGTTGTAAGATACTCAGCTCTTCGCCTACGCACAGGCGGAGAATTTTTGTCCTATGCGCGGACGAAGGAAGTCCGCCTGCGCACAGACAAAATAGGGTTGTGAGGTAGGCGCGAAGTTTGCCTACGCACAGGCGTGCGCCTGTGCACAAGCGCTTCGGTGTCGGCGGGAAATCCGCCTTGTGCCCTAGAAATGCGCCTTGTGAGGTAGAAATTGTACGGCGCCTTCTGCGCCAGCGCAACGCCGCGGACGAGCAAGGAGCCGCCAGAATAGTAAAATCCGTACGGACCGTGCGGACTGTACGGACGGGACGGATGGATGCGCTCTTGGACGGACGGAGTTGCGGCGGCGAGAGCGCCGACGGAGAGACAAGGAACGGACAGTCTGGACGGAGTCGGTTGACCGCGGTCAACGCCTTCCGCGCCAACGCATCGACGCGGACGGATTTCGCCTGCGCGCAGGCGAGCGCCTGTGCACAGGAGGATGAAGTTCCGCGCCGGCGGAGAATCCGCAAAGGAGTCCGCCTGCGCGCAGGCGGGAGTTGAACTTTTGTCCGACATGCTGACACGCGCGCCGAGGCAGAAGAGGATTGGCTGAGGAGCGGTACGAACGAGTGTACCGCGCAAGGCGGAAAATCCGCCTTCGGCGCTGCGCACCCATGTCCGCGGCGTAGTACGCTCGCGGAGTTCAAATTCGCCAATTCGAGCGTGAGAGTTTAATCGGCGACGGAAAGGCGTGTCGCCCACTGTCTCAAGGGCTAAGCCCACTGGGAAGTGGCGGCGCAGGAGAAACTCAGACTACGTGAGTTTGAACTTCGCGCAGCCGGGTTGTTGACAAGCGACAGCAGGAGTCGGCGGAAGGTAGCGAAGAAGCTCGACGCTTTTCTGTCGAAGGCGCGGGATACCATGTCCACCCTCGAAGTGGGGGTGTCCGCGGCGTTGCAGCGGTTGGGACTGCGCAGTCGAGCGGAAGACTGGCAGGGTAGAGAGGTAGTGCGCGGCAGTCCGTCGCGCAGGAGACGTAGCACAAGTTCCGCGGAGTGTAGTGTAGCGTGGTTCCGTGCAGGCGTGTAGCGTAGTGCAGTGTAGTGCTAGTAAGGACTTAGAAGGTATAAAATAGTTCCAAGCGTTTTGCCTGGGGTTCTTTCCCAATTTCGGAAGTGCAGATCAGGAACTCATTTTCTTTGCGTGTTTGTGTCCTTAGTTCTGTCACCACGCAAGAGGAGCTACCACTTAGCGTTCCGCATTTTGTAGCTGAAGGCCTTCGGCCGAATGTTCAGAGCTAGCACATTGGTTAGAGACTTGAGTAGTTCGGATCTGCACCTGCGGGTGTCTGCCGATGCTTAGAGCCAGTGACTAGTTAGATACTTGAACAGTTTCGCCCCTACACCTTCGAGTGTTTCTTTCTGATTGTACTCCTTCGGGATTTTTCCCCTGAATGCCAAAGTGAAGTTTTGCTACTTCGTGTAAGCCTTGGTTGTAAATTCAGGTTACGCTGCAGCAGATGCCTTTGAGGTTACCCCTGTAGTATTTCTGGGAATGACAAGTGCCTAAGAAATCAAACTCTTCAATAGACTGTTATTGTGTCACTGGAATGTTTCTCAGTGAGTCCTTCAGTGCGGACCTGTGTTCTCTGCGCGTTTTGTGAGTTGAGAGTGTTGTTCACCGCGTCTGAGTGACTTCGATCCGAAGTAGGTAGTCCAAACCGGGTTTCCTACGCTAGCAGCAAGCTAGTGGAAGTGTTGTAAAAGCTGGAGTTGGAAGTCACTACCCGCAGCTTCGCTGAGTGTGCTCGCGAGAGACTTTCCCCCTGAAATCTTGAGTAGAGGTCCTAACGGATCTCTGGGTTGTGTTTCTGTAGTTTCAGGCGTGTGTGTGTGTGTTACGCTGCACTGTGCGACCTCCGAGTGCGCTCCAAGTGGACACTTGCAGTATTTCTGGGAGTGACAGTCGCCTGAGAATTTAAATTCCTCAATAGTCTGTTAAACGTGACACTTTGTACCTGATGTGTTCCTCTGTCCCTGTGGGTTCGAACTTTCTACCACACTATTGCAGTTTTAGCCCTTAGTGGGTTATTACATGTTCCAAATAAATAATCTAATGCAATGTCGTGTAGAGGAAGAATTTTAAAGTGTTGGCAGTAGCATCTGGATCTGGTCGTCGTATGTGATCGGATGAAGTAAAATTCGAACTATAATAACCCAAATGAACCTTCGTTGCCAATTAGCGACTACTGCAGTGTCACGAACTCGTGGTCCGAAATGTGAACGAGTCATGACACTGGTGCGACAAGCAACAGGACTTGTCATGGACGTGAAACTCGTGAACAAGTCATGACGTTCATGACGTCGATGCTCCAAATATTACTATGTTCCTTGCACGAGGGCTCAACCTTACACTTCTTCCCACAATTGGTCACGGAATTGTTCCAAGATAAATAATCTAATGCAATGTCGTGTACAGGAAGAATTTTAAAGGGTTGGCAGTAGCATCTGGATCTGGTCGACGTATGTGATCGGATGAAGTAAAATTCGAACTATAATAATCCAAATGAACCTTCGTTGCCAATTAGCGACTACTGCAGTGTCACGAACTCGTGGTCCGAAATGTGAACGAGTCATGACACTGGTGCGACAAGCAACAGGACTTGTCATGGACGTGAAACTCGTGAACAAGTCATGACGTTCATGACATCGATGCTCCAAATATTACTATGTTCCTTGCACGAGGGCTCAACCTTACACTTCTTCCCACAATTGGTCACGGAATTGTTCCAAGAAAAATAATCTACTGCAATGTCGTGTACAGGAAGAATTTCAAAGGGTTGGCAGTAGCATCTGGATCTGGTCGACGTATGTGATCGGATGAAGTAAAATTCGAACTATAATAACCCAAATGAACCTTCGTTGCCAATTAGCGACTACTGCAGTGTCACGAACTCGTGGTCCGAAATGTGAACGAGTCATGACACTGGTGCGACAAGCAACAGGACTTGTCATGGACGTGAAACTCGTGAACAAGTCATGACGTTCATGACATCGATGCTCCAAATATTACTATGTTCCTTGCACGAGGGCTCAACCTTACACTTCTTCCCACAATTGGTCACGGAATTGTTCCAAGAAAAATAATCTACTGCAATGTCGTGTACAGGAAGAATTTTAAAGGGTTGGCAGTAGCATCTGGATTAATAACCCTCAACAATAACCGAGGACCTGAACGTTTTTCCTTTTGCAGCCCAGACCCTTTTGGAAAAAAGATCAGCTTTATTTCAACAGAAAAGAAGCTGCAAAGCAACTCTGGCCGCCTCGTGGAAACCATCGAAGAAATTCAGCCTAAAAGCGAGCACTGTGTGTGAAGCTTTCCTCGCAAAATTCTTACTGCAGCTTCTATGTGTGGCGCACGCCTAATTCTACTATGCAAATAAGATATATATGACAAAAGCATGGGGATACGCCATCGATTCATGTGTCCAATACAGTACCGGCACTACACATCATATCTCTCAGGATAGAACTATTTCAACAACTACCGATTCCTGTCATGGACTCGATGCAAATTATACGAGCATAAACACTTCATGATCACGCTAACCACAAAATGTTTCACAATTTGGGAAGACTTATTACTTCTTAAACTCCAAACAGTTCTCTCGTCTGAGAGCTTCGCTAAAGCGGCTTGGCTAACGTTCAATTGGTCTGAGTAGGCTTGGCCACGGTCCGGTTCATAAAAAATGTGGACCGGTTAACCGGTCCACATTTAACACGGACCGGTTAAGCTATAGTTTAACCGGTCCGTTGTTCGGTCGGTTAAAGCCGCAGACTGACGCCACACTTCCCTAGACTCTGGATTGACTGCCCAACTCCGTCGCATAACAAAAAGGTCCAGCTC